GGGGGTCGATCCCAGCTGGAACGAGGCCAGGGACCTGCGGAGGCCTACTCCAGAGACCCACAAGATTCAAAGGGCCCGGAAGTAGGCGCCAGCCGCGCGATGCTGCGCTTGGGGGCGTCTGGCAGTTGGGCGGAGGGCACTCGGCCCCCGCCAGCCGCCGGTGGTGGGTTTTGATCTTCCATACGTCCACGCGGCGCTCAGACAGACACCAGAGACTCGGCGCGGCGAAGGCTGGGCGGCAGTGGCAGCCCAGGCCTAGGCGCAGAGCAAGCAGCGACGCCGCCACCCAGCCGCGACAGCCAGGCGCTGCTCGACATGGCGTACAAGCTATTCGTAGCACGACGGCCCGGCATGGCCCTCAGGGCACTTCAGAAAATCGACAAAGCCGCTCCACACGCCACGCGGCATCCTGGTTTCCAACACCTTCACGACAGCATCGCTATCTGCCCCAAGGACGGGCAGTGCTACGAGCACCTGGCCGAGGAGCAACGGGATATATATATATATGTATATACATATACACACAGCCGCGGAGGAGAAGGAAGGGCAGGAGATGTCTGACAGCGACGCGGGGGACGAGGAGGACGAGGGCAGGGTGCGGAGGGACATGTACACACTAAACCAGCGCAGCGGCACGCCGCAGGCCGCCGCGGTGCGGACAGGCAGGTCGAAAAGGGACAGCGGTGGCAGCAGACGGGGCGAGGCGCGGACAAGCCGACATCATCAGCTACAAACCAGGTATACGTAGGAAACTTGGCTTGCGACGTCGATTGGCGCGACCTAAAGAGACACGTTAGGCGGGCGGCAGCTTGGAATTTTGCAGAGCGCTCACAGAGGACGGGACCGTCGAAGGCAGATCGTTCGGATGCGGTCAGGTACGCTTCTCCCCAGACGTGGAGGCTACAAAGGCCATAGCCACCCTGCTCGAGACGGAACTCAAGAACCGGAGGATTCGGATTCGGACGTGATATGGCACAAAGGGGCGTGATCTGCGTCGTGCGTAGTAAAACGGTGGTGGTGTGGTGTGAGAAGAGCTGGAATGGCGCAGCCTGTGCTTGAAGCACACCGCACTCACTTCTATACCCCTGGGCGGGTGTATGTGCGGCCCTTTTTGCGCTGTCTTGTGCGCACGTGCCCCGGCATGTGCGGGGTTCTGTGCATTGTGTTTTGGTGCATTCATTGGATGCGCATGCCCGCGCATGCCGACGCACATGCCCGCACATGCGGACCTTGTGCGAACATCGCATATCGGTCAATGGCACATGCACGCACATGACTGCGCACCACCCTCGCGGATGACAGCGCGGGCCCGCACATGCACGCACGTGCGCTGAATCCCGCGCCCGCACATGCGCGCACATGTTGATGCACATGCACGCACGTGCCCGCACATGCGGACCTTGTGCGAACATCGCAGATCGGTCAATGGCACATGCACGCACATGCCTGCGCAACCCCCTGCGGATGACAGCGCGGGTCCGCGCATGCACGCACGTGCGCTGAATCCCGCGCCCGCACATGCCGCGCACATGCCGATGCACATGTACGCACATGCCCGCACATACGGAACTTGTGCGAACATCGCAGATCGGTCAGTGGCCCGAAGGCAGGGACCGCTGCAGCTGATCAGACGTTTTGGCAGTGGAGCGGGGGACAGGGGGCGGAACGCGGCGGCTTGGTCAGGGGCCTCTGGCGCCCTGGCTTGGGCCGGTTGCGTGGGGGAAACCCGATGGACTTGCGAGCGGCGGGGAGGATGAGGGCGCCGATGACGATGACGTTGTTTTTGTTGTTGGTGATCTATATGGTGGTGATGGCGATGGTGATGACGGTGGCGGTGGCCATGGCGGTGATGATGATGAGTGATGATGGGTTGCGGTGAGTGGTGGGATGGTGATGGACTGTCATGCTGGTGATGGTGATGATGATGATGATGATGTTGATGATGGCGGTTATGGTGACGATGATGAATATGATAATGATTATGTGGATGATGTGAATGATGATGACGATGATGATGGTGATGGTGACGATGCTGGTGATGATGACGATGATACTGGTGATGGTGGTGATGATGATACTGGTGTTGGGGTTGGTGTTGGTGCTGGTGCGTTAAGGATGGTGACGATGAGGATGGAAGGACGTTGGTGATGAGTGGTGATAATTGTGACGGTCATCATGAGTTTGATGCTGGCGATGATGGTTGTGGTGATGATGATGATGAGGAGGAGGAGGAGGATGAGGATGATGGTGGCGCTGATGAGTGGCGATGATGGTGGGGATATCGATGATCGTGGTGATGATGAGGATGAGGGTGAAAAAAGGTGGATGGGGATGCCGACGACGACGATGACGAGGACGACGAAGGGGCGGGGTAGGGCGGAGGTCCGTAGTTGCTGCCGCCCCAGCCAGGTCGGGCCTGAGCTCGGCAACTGGGACGTGACCTTTTCGTGCCAGGTCCTTGCCCCGTAGCCGAGCCCTCCCGGGTCTGCCCGCGGGAGCTCCGAGGGGTAGCCCCAGACTTGGGGGCTGATGCGATAGAGGGATCGGGGGCGTCCAACAGGGGTGCGGGGACCTTTGTGGTTCTTGGTCTTGGAAACGACAGGGCCGCTTCTTTTCCGTTTTCGTTTGGCCGTTGTTCCCCCGGTTTGGGCGCCGTTGTTTTTTTCTGGTTATGTTGCCGTTTGTTTGTTTGTTTGTTTGTTTGTTCGGTTCTTGCTCGGGGTTCCATCTCGGAACAATTGTTCTTTTCCCTTTTCGGATGTTTTTTACCGCTCCCATTCTCGTTCTCACGTGGAAACAGTAAGGGTAACAAAGAAGCACGACCCTGTGGTTTCCATGAACCACCCAGGTGGGGATTCCAGTCAACCCGCATAGTAAGGATGGGCATGGGCGATCTTCCCACGGTACCCTTGCATCCTTGCCTCCTCGGCCCACCCTTGCTCGACATGTGTCGAAAAAGTGCCGCCATGGCTTTCTAAGGCCCTCGCATCCTTACCGCGCATCCGTACTGTACGGGTTGACCGTATGGGTGGATGCCATGGCGGGGGCCGTGAACTCTCCTTGATCTCGTGGCCCGTTCCTCTTGCAGTGCGCTCCCTGGCGCCCCCCCCCTCGTCCGCGCACGTGCCTCGGGCCGCGATTCGCGAACCCTTTTCTTGGACACCCCCTCTTGGACGCCCCGAAGCAGGGCTCATTTCGACTCACTCCGATTCGCTTCGATTCGATTTCAATGGCTTCCGATTCCGATTCGATTTGGTTTGGGATTCCGATTTGGGTTCCGATTTCTTATTGGAGGCATACTAGCCTGCCGATTTCCGCCGATTCGACTGTTCCCGACCCGGCTGCCGATTTCCGCCGATTCATTTCGATCGCCGATCCGACATCGATCCGATTCTAGGCTCTCCTGCGAAGGAGCCAGGGGGTCGAGCCGACTCTCGACTCTCCCCCTTCGTGGCCCCCCTTGGCCCCCCTCTTCGGCGCACCCGAAGGAGGGGGTCCGCGGTGCTGAAGGGATGCCGCTTCTCCTGGGTTCTCTCTGGCGCGGGGCCACGGGGGACGTCCCCTCAGGGCTGCCCGAAGGGTCAGGGGCAGCGTTAGGGAGGGGTGGGCTCAACGGCAACGAGCGAAGTTTCGAGGTTTCAGGTGTTTGAGCGTTTTCGTCGGTTCCTGGCGGCTTTCCAGCCTCGAGGTCCTCTCCAGCGGCTGCGCCTCGCCGAGGGCGTTCCAGGGGTGCCCAGATCGTCCGGAACGACCGCCATGACCCGAAAACCTCACAAGAGGGGTCATTGGGGGTGATGGGCTCAGAGGGGGATGCATCGACCCCGTATCGCCCGTTGATCGCTGATAGGCGCCCGATAGCCCACCCCGCCAGGGGGCCCATCGCCGATTCCAGCTCAATGCTTCCCACCCTCGAGCCGGTCACTCCCTGACGTTGCCCCTCACTGAAGGGGAGGTGTGCTTGCGCGTCCCCCCCCCCCAAACAGTGCAGCCAAAGGACACCGTCGTGGCGCGCCGAGGTCTTCCTGCCAGGCCCACAGACGGCAGCCCAGTACGTGCCGCGTAAAACGGCCGGCCGCGGCCTCGTTGCCATCGCAATCGTCGTGGGCGAGCGGCTGCAACCTGGGTGACAGCAGAGCATCGGCACCACCCCCGCATACTCATACGACATGCGCGTCGGCCACGCAAGGGCAAGGCGCACGCTCCGACATCTTGTTGTATAAGCTGTGTGGCGGGCGCATTCTGGCCATACCCGCTCTGGAAACGATATACTGCAAGATGGTGTACTACATGTTTAAGTCGGACGTGCATTTGCAACATAAGCACACGTTCTAGACGCTTCGCTTAACCCCACCAGCCCATCCAGAAATGATGCCCAGGCGAGTTACCTTGATCATGCATGCGGGGGAACACGCAGTGGAATAATGGCTGGGAAGCCGTCATACCCCAAGAGGGGGAGGATAGAGGAGGAACCAGAAGAGGAGGAGGAGAAGGAGGACGATGAGGAGGAGGAGGAGGACGAGGACGAGGAGGAGGAGGCGGAGGAGGAGGGGGAGAGAGGGGGGGAGGAGGGAGGAGGGACAAGAGAAGAGGGAGGAGGAGGAGGATTCGGCGGATGAGGAAGAGGAGGAGACAGGAGGAGGAGGAGGAGGAGACAGAGGAGGAGGAGGACGAGGAGGAGGAGGAGGAGGAGGAGGAGGAGGAGGAAGGCCAGAGGTCTCTTGGATGCTTTTCGGAGTCTCTTCGGATGTCTCGAGAGCTTCCTGTAGGTCTGTTGAGCGTCTTGGGGGCCTCCTGGCGGCCCCGGGGGCCTCTTGAAGCGTCTTGGGTGCCTCGGGGGAGCCTCTTGGGGCCTCTTGGGGGTCTCTTAGGAGCCTCTTGGAGGCATTTTGTGGGGCCTCTTTTGGTCTCTGGGCATCTTGGGGCCATCTTCTCCTCAATTAGCGATCCCCCCTCATGTGGCCAAAAAACCTTAGCAACATCAAGGATTGTGGCTGCCTCCCGAGGCCATATTGGACGCTCCCATCCCTCGCGAAAGGCCCCGTCCAGACCCACGGGGAGGGGGAAGGGGGAGGGGTGAACTTCTCCCCAAAGGGGACGAAGGGGGGTTGGAAGCAGAAACGCCCTAAACCACTCACGCCCAGAGGGCTGGTGGGATTGCTAGTGTGTCCTTGCACTGGCGGCCCGAGGAGGGCGGGCTACGCGTTCTCGGCAGAGATAGCCGATTGCCTGCTCTCAGCACCGCTGGTATCACACGCTTGCAGCTGCGCTGAACGGGCAGCCTCCAATCCATACCCTTCTTGGCCCATGACCCTCGGGCCACGGCGGGCAATCCAGAGCGGGTGCCCAGGGGGGAAGCGGGTGGGGGCGGGCTTTCCCAGAAGGCTCGGAACGCCTCGGCCCTGCTGGGAAGTCTTCCAAGCCTTCCCGGGAGACGCATAACACTTCTCAGAAGGCGCGGGGGCTTCTGAGAACCCCCGCCGCCGACCTCTCACTTCCCCCTGGGCTCGCCGCCCAGATCCAGACCGGGAGCTCGGGAACCCCTCCACACCAGGCATCCCCAGAGGCTGACCGAGCCCAGGCAGAAAAGGACCGCAGCCGCAGCAGGCGCCGCCATTGCTGATCATCCTCGCCAGTGCGATCTGCGCCTCCCCTCATTTCTCCTCCTCCGCCTCCTCCTCCTCCTCCTCCTCGTTCTCCCCTCTCCGTTGACGAGAGAGGGGAAGGAAACGCATGCTTTCTTCCCCCACCCAGAGCAAAGGACGGACGTTTGTTTTCTTTTGTAGTTTGCTTGAGTGGGCAGCAAGAGATAGGGAAAAAGAGAGAGAGAGAGGGAGAGAGAGAGACAGAGAGAGAGAGAGAGAGAGAAAGAAAGAGAGAGAGAGGGAACGAGAGAGAGAGGGAGGAGAAACTCATCCCTCCCGCCACGCTCTGGGGCGCATGCTCGAGCTGCTGGGATGACGGCGGCGACGGCCACGACGATGACGACGACAGCTGATCTGTAGCAAACGAGGACCGACAAGCTTTGGCTAGATGTCTGACTCCACATCCTGCGCGCTCATTATCCAAACCTGCTGCAACCGCTTCGACTCCCCGTTGCCGCAGCTCACTTCGATGCTTCTGCGGTGACGACAGCAGCGACGAGGACGACCAGGATTGTGAAGCCCGTGCGAGGCGTCGGCGCTGCAGTTCAACTCCGACCACTGTGTGAACTTCAACACCTGGATCGGCGAGGGCATTTCGTACCTCAGCCGGGAGGACTCCAGCTCCGCGGGCACAGCTTCTGCCCTGGCAACACTCCGCTTCCGCCCCCCCCCTGCTTTGGAGAGGGTCTGGGGGATCGGCAGAAGCGCCCTCCGTGAGCTCCTCGGCTTTGGGAGGCGTTGTGTGGGGCGGGGGAGAGGGGAGGGCGGAAGGAGGGGGGCGGAGTCCTGTAAGTGGGCGACGGAGAGCGAAGGGGCCCTGCAGGGAATGGGAGGGTGGAAGGACTTCTTGCGCTCGTGTTGGGCAATGCTCGCACATCCTATTGCGTGCACATCGTCAGCTGTCAGCTTGGTTCAGAAAGGTCCGGCAAGGGACGATACGTTGGCCTGGTACTGACTCAAAAGCTGCATCGACGTGCTTGGATCGTTCGGCTTCATTGTCCTAACTTGATCGGGCGAGGGGGAGTGAATCGGGCAGACCCAGGGTCAGGATCAATCGCTGCAGAGCCTTCCGAACGCTCTCAGAGCGCTTCAGGGCGCTCTGCAACCGCCGCGGCGCCCGGTACAACCTCCAGAATCGCAGAATCTCAGATACCCCCGATCTCTCCTGGTTCGATGTTGTCCCGGTCCTGCCTGGCTTCCCGGCTTCTGTCTCGGTGTAGGGCTGGCGGGGCTCTCCCTCCGCCTGGTGGCCGCCGGAGGACGAGAGGCGGCTCCACGGGCCCAACGGCAACGGGAGCCTGAACGGAGCCCACGGCGAGAAGGCCACGGACTGCGGACTTTCTGGATGAGTGTGGGAGGAGGAGGAGGAGGAGGAGGAGGAGGAGGAGGAGGAGGAAAACCAGTGGAAATCCAAGAATCATCAACGATGTTGGAACTAACCCTTCCTCCAAGCTCCCTCTTCATAGGCATCACTTTCATTGAGGGAACTCTCTCGTTGGAAGGCAACAGTTTGAAGATCCTACAGCGTGCCAAAACATTGTTCTCGGGATTTCAACGCCACCTACCAACCTGACTGCTGCGTCTTGACGATCCAGAATCGTGCCAGAACGCCCTTTTTGGGACTTCAACAGCGAATCGACATAACGGTTGCGCCCGCATAATCCAGAATCCTTCCAAACATCATTTCTGGTGCGTTGATCATGGGAATCCGTGAAATTCTCGTGCAAAGTTGAAAAAACGAATGTGCACGGCGCTAAGGCGAGAACCACATTTTGAAAACCACCCGCCCTCCATCCGTGAAACTCTTGCAAGTATTTAAGACGAATGTGCGCGGCGCGAAGGCGAGAGCCACATTTTG